TTTCATCATCATCATCATCGTCATCATCATAATCATCATCATCATCATTATCATCATCATCATTATCATCATCATCATCATCATCATCATCATCATCATCATCATCATCATCATCATCATCATCATCATCATCATCATCATCATCATCATCACATCATCATCATCATCAGCAGCATCAGCATCAGCATCAGCATCATCAGCATCAGCATCACATCATCATCAGCAGCAGCAGCATCACATCATCATCATCATCATCATCATCATCATCATCATCACTGATATTATCTGTGTGTATATATACGCATTTCTATATTAGTGTGTATGGCTCTGTGCGATTGTGTATATCTTCATGCTGACGTGTGATTGCCTATCTGACGTTAAGCGCGTTACGATCATCCAAGTGTAAATAATAAAAAAAAAAAATGTTAGAATCAACGAACCTCATGCTCCCTTCCTGTTATCTTTTTTATAATTGTGCTGTTATTTTGTTTTCCTCCAATGTATATTTAAGCTGATTATTTTTTCATGTCAGATTTTTTTTAAATATTTTTTTTATATATGTATGTACACTGTTTGGTGTGTTTAATATGCCAGAGTGTGTGTGTGGTTAACCTCGGCGTTGTTATCGTATTAAAATCGGGTTGTCTTGCCCCATTAGGCTGATTGGCTGATCCTTCGCGTCATGAGGTGAGGGGGGAGCAAGAGGTGGGGGTGAGGGGGAGGAGGAAAGAGGTGGGAATAGGGGGGGGGGTTGGAGGGTGAGGGAGGGAGATGGGGAGGAGGGGAAGGAGGAAGGATGGGGAGGAGGAAGGAGGGGGAGGGAGGGAGGGAGGGAGGGAGAAGGTGATGAGGATAATGAGGGGGTGGAGGAAAATGGGGAATGGAGGGGGAGATGGGGAGGGAGTAGGGGAGGAATGGAGGGGGGGGAAGTAAGGGTGAGGGAGTCGGAAGGGAGTAGGAAAATGAGGGGAAATTAAGAGAAAGGGAGATGGAGGGTGAGGGTATGATGAAGAAGGTAGGGGGGGGTATATAGCTGGGGCAAGGGGAGGGGGGAGGGAATGAGGTGGAAGGAGATAGGGAGCGGGGGAGAAGGGTGGAAGGGAGAGGGAGGGGAGGGAAGGGAGAAAGAGGGGGGAGAGGGAGAAGGAGGGGGAGGGGGAAGAGGGAGAGGGAGAGGGGGTATAGGAGAGAGATAGAGATAGATAGAGATAGAGATAAAGAAAGAGAAAGCGATAAAGAAAGAGAAAGAGAAAGACAGAGACAACCAGACAGAGAAATGCACAGGCAGATAGACCGATAGAGAGGAGAAACGAGGAGAAAAGGCGAGCACCAGACAAAAAAAAAAAGGTCTACCAGGCTACAGCTCCATAAATTTGAAAGTCTAAACTCCTCCACTCAGTCTGGGCAGAAGAGTCACGGATGCTGAGCTTACCGACGGATGGCCTTCGGATTGTGAATAAAACAACGCAGGGGAGAACTGGAAAGCGCAGTGCCAGTGTCCTTTTCGCCATGTTGGCTCTTCAGGGCGCGAAGGAGCGAAGTCTAGATGTGATTTAGTCTTATTTTATCTTTTTTTTTTTTGGGGGGGGGGGGGATTTAGGCCTTTTAGGATTGTAACATCTCGACTGGGAGAGCGGGTGGAAGGAAGATTGACTCCGATCGGGTGCGGGAGTTTCGCTTTAAACGATATGCACCTCGTGGTGTAAGCTCTCTTCTTCTACTCTCAGTTTGTCTCTGTGTCGGTTTTTATTTTCTTTATCTGTCTTTCTGTTGTTTTCTCGTTTTTTCTCTCTCTTTCTTCCTCTTGTTTGTTTTTTTCTTTCGTTCAATCTCTCTTTCGTTCTCTCTCTCTCTCTCTCTCTCTCTCTCTCTCTCTCTCTCTCTCTCTCTCTCTCTCTCTCTCTCTCTCTCTCTCTCTCTCTCTCTCTCTCTCTCTTTCTCTCTCTCTCTCTCTCTCTTTCTCACTCTCTCTCATTCTCTCACTCTCTCACTTTCTCACCCTCTCTCTCTTCTCTCTCTCTCTCTCTCTCTCTCTCTCTCTCTCTCTCTCTCTCTCTCTCTCTCTCTCTCTCTCTCTCTCTCTCTCTCTCTCTCTCTCTCTCTTTCCATTTCATTTGTTACCCTTACCTATTCCTTTCCTTTTCCTTTTCTTTCTCTTTTGTCTTACTCTTTCTCTTTCTCTTTCCTTTTTTAGCATTCTTCCTTTCCTTTCCCTTCACTCTCCTTCTCCTTCTCCCTACTGCCTTCATTCCTGTTCCTTCCTTCTCTTCTTCCTCCCTCCCACTCACCCTCTTCTCTTCCACCTCTCTCTCCCTCCCCACCACATTCACTTTACTTCTCTTCTTTGCTCTTCCGTCCCTCCCATTCTCCCTCCTCCCTCACCTATCCTCCCCCGCCTCCGCCTCCGCCTCCCCCACTTCCCCCATCTCCCCTATCGCCCCCCCCTCCCTCGCCCCTCACTTGCCCCCACTCCCCCGCCCCCACTTACCCTACCTCCCCA